AAACAGGCTGAAAATGCATTGAAATGATGGAAAAAATGATAAAAAATTATTAAATAATCTTTGTCTGAATCTAAATGTGTTTTTAATTAGATTTAATCAAAAATTTCTGCATATATTTACCTCAAAAAAATAAATCTGTTTTCATTTTGATGCCCGTGGCTTTAAAGCGTTTAAAATAAAAATTCAAATAAATAGAAAACTCCACTTTTTTTATTTCTTTACCGGACCTTTTAATCTTTTCTTTGTTTATTATCCTTTTTCTGTCCACTTACATGTTTAAATAGTCGTTTTTATGTTTTAAACTCATCCTTTTTCAGCTTAATGTCTTTTTTCTGTCGGAAAAAGCTGAATCTGGAGTCCTGTTTTCCATCTCTAAGATGATTTTAGGCTATTTTGTCTGTTTTATTTAGGTGGAAAAAGACCCAAAAAATAATAAAAAACAGCCGTGTTTTGAGGTTTGACTCTAAACTCTTCAGATTTAATCTGTCGTGCTTTTTTTCCTCTATTTTTAAAGCGAGGTCACAGACTGAAATAAACCAGAACAATGGATGTGACCTTTTTTTTCTGTGAAACCATCAGGAATAACTGCGTCTGTTTGGTTAAAGGAGAGAAATCCTGATTTATTTGTACTGTGAAAAAGAAGAAACAGAAGAAGAAAAAGAAAAACCAGAAGAAAAACAAGAAAAAACAAGAAGAAAAACTAGAAGAAAAACAAGAAAAAACAAGAAGAAAAACTAGAAGAAAAACAAGAAAAAACAAGAAAGAGAGAATAAACTGAAGAAAAACAAGAAAAAGAAGAAAAATTAAAACAAGAAGATAAACAAGAAAAAACAAGAAAAAGAAGTAAAGGAAGAAGACGGAGAAGAAAAACAAAAAGAAAATTATGTAAAAGAAGAAAAAACAGAAGAAAATGAAGAAAAAGATTAAGAAAAACAGAAGGAAAAAAAGAAAATCAAGAAGAAAAAGATTAAATACAAGAAGAAAATGATGAAAAAGCAAAAGAAAGAGAAAGAAAACAAGAAAAAGAAGTAAAAGAAAAAGACGAAGAAGAAAAACAAGCAGAAAATTATGAAAAAGAGGAAGAAACAGAAGAAAACGAAGAAAAAGAAAAAGATTAGGAAGAAAAACAAGAAGATAATTATTTTAAAAAAGAAACTGAAGAAAACAAAGGAAAAGATGAAGAAAAAAAACAAGAAGAAACAGAAGGAAAACAAAAAAAACAAGAAAAACAAGAAGAAAAAGATGAAAAAAAAGAAGAAAAACATGAAACACAAGAAAAATAAAAAGACAAAGAAGAAAAACAAGAAGAAACAGATAAAAAACAAGAAGAAACAGAAGGAAAACAAGAAGAAACAGAAGGGAAACAAGAAGAGGACGAAACGGAAGAAGAAACAGAATAAGAAAAAGCTGAAAAAGGTGAAACAGAGGAAGAAAGAGAGGAAGAAACAGAGGAATAAAGACGGCGGAGGACGAGTCCCGGCGCTGACACCAGAACAAATGAAGGAGAGAAAACTCTCAGAAAGAAACAAATGGAGGAGAGAAAAACTCTCAGAAAGAAACAAATGGAGGAGAGAAAACTCTCAGAAAGAAACAAATGGAGGAGAGAATGTGCAGGATAACCTCCTTAACAACGGGCCATAAATGATTTATAGATTCTGAACGCCGTTCGTTAAAAAAAGAAACGCACAGACAGAAAAAGCCCGGCTGGGTAAAAGGCCACGAGATGGACTAGATAAACCCCCCCCACCCCAAAATAACCCCCCCCAT